TTTTAAACTGAATTTCAAGACTATATATTCTTAGGGCTCTTGATTTTTGCCTCTATATTTGCACCTTTTTCTTATTATTTATTGCACTCCCTTTTTCTATATTTTAAATTCTTAGCAAATAACCATACTTACATTCCTGTTTTGATACTTCATTCCCCCCTGCTGCTCCTTGAATAAGATATCAGAATTTTTAGTGAAACTTAGGATTTGTAGATTAAATTGAGGGAAAGAGCTCATAGGTAGAGACTAATGTTGAGAAAAGTATAATTTAGCTTTAGGGTATATTAGCTTTTTACATAAAAGGAAAACTTGTATTTGCTATAATAGTTCATTTTGAAATGTTATACATTTGATAGATAACCATGTATGCGAGGAGAGCCACAAAAGTATGCTTAGGACCCGGAGAAGTTGTAGCCTACCTTTTCAAGAAAAAGAGTGAGGGAAGCAAGTATCTTGGTTAAATTCTTCAGATTGTGGTAGTCTGTGCTCTGGAACATGTCTTTATTTTTTTTCTTAAAAAAAAATTACACTCAACTTAAACACCAACATACATATAGTAGGAAAAGATGGTGAGATATGAAACTGTGACTCTCCATTTCATATCAGTAGCTTTAAAAAATATGTAATAAATTTTCCATATCATGTTCAAAATTGTCTTGTTTGTGCTTCCTTTGGAACTTTGTTTAGTTCTCTTCTTTGCATTTAAAAAAACTGTTTCAGTGCTCCTCTTTGGTGCATTACCATTCCAAGCGCCTTCCTTTTCCTGACTCCCCTCCTTAAAAACTATCAAAAAGAAAAAAAATCCTTTGTTAATAAGTATAGTAAACAAATTTGCACAGTGGCCATGTCCAACAAATATATCTCTGTACTTTATGTCCACCTCCTTTCTTTCATGCTTCATTATAAGTCCTCTAGAGACATGATTAGTCATTGAATTGATCACAGTTTTAAGTCTTTCAATTTTGTTTTTCTTTACAGTGTTGTTGTCCTTATATAAATTTTTCTTTTGCCTCTGATTGCTTTGCTGTGCCTGAAATTCTCCTTTGTCATTTTTTATGGTGCAGTAATATTTCATTATATTTATTTACCGCAGTTTGTTCCACAGTCGTTCTCCAAGTGCCTGAAAGACAATTTAAGGCACTCTCTTAAATTCTAGTTCTTTCTTATTTTCCCTTTTTCCCTTTTAATCCCCTCTTTTGGATCAGAATGTTTGTTTTGTTTGTGACTGTTTCTTGTCCTATATTCTCCCTTTTAATCTTCCCCACAACTCCAGCTACATCCTGGTTGTTTCCCTGTTGAATTTGATGTTTTTTTATACCAAACTGTGTGTTCAACCCTCTTTTGTCTGTTATAGGTAAGAGTGAGGATGTTCTGATGCTTACTCCCCTCACCCCTCCTTTTGTTTTTATATACCATTCTTACACATTCTAGTTGTGAGAATTAGTAAGTTATACCACTTTCTCCCCTCTTTTCTTCAGGAGTGTGTTTTCTTCCCTTCTTTTTTCTTTTCCATCATCACATCCTCAGAACAGAACCTTTTAATCAGAAATGCTTCCATTTTCCCCTCTTGTAGGCTTATACTCAGCTTTTCAGGGTAAGTTATTCTTGGTTGCAAACCTGTATCTTTTGTCTTTTGTAATATTGTACTCCAGTTTCTCTTCTCATTTATTATAGAAGCTTCACATCTTATGTGATTATGACTGTAGTGTCTTAATACTTGAACTATTTCTTTCCAATTGTGTACAGTATTTTTTTCCCTTTAATTTGGGTGCTCTAGATTTTGGCTGTGATATTCCCACGACTTTATTTTTTTGAGTTCTTTTCATGAAATAATTGGGTTCTTTCAGTTTACACTTTGTCCTTAGGTTCTAATAGATTTGGACAGTTTTATGTATATGGTTTTTAAATATATAGTGTCCATGGTTTTTTAAAATCATAGTTTTATAAGAGTCTCATGATTGTTAAATTATTTCTCCTTGACCTTTTTTCAAGTAATTTGTTTTTGATATCAGATTGCTTAGATTTTATTCAATTTTAAAATTTTTGCCTTAATATTACTTGATGTCTTGTGCAATCATTGATTTGTGTTTGATCTATTCTGTTTTTTAGGGAGTTACTTGGGTAAGGTTTACCACTTTGTCCTCTAAGCTACTTATTTTTCAGATTCCTCCAGAGATTTTATTCATTCATTCATTTATTTGTTGGCTTTTACTTCTTTCTTCTAGGTATTCATGTAGTTCTTTTGGAAAAATCTATCCTTTCTTCTGAATCTCTGCTTACAGTTGTTGCAGAATTACTTGTTCCTTCTTTGGGGGAAAATACTTAGACTTCAATAAATTTTTATACTGCTTGGTATTTCTTTCCCTTCCTTCCTCCTTCCTTTCTTTCCTTCCCTCCTTCCCCTAACCTTTGTTTCTGAATTGAAGCTTTGTGCTGAATCCTAACCACTAGACTACTTGCTTTGATTATAGAAATTCGCTATAAAAGGATAAAGCAAGGAAAAGATTTATACCAAATACGACAGGATAAAACATACTTAGAATACAGATAATTCACAGTTTTCCAACCATGCAGTATCAATTCCACCTCATTGCCAGACTCAGGAATACCCAGGTGGGTAACACTCCTTTTCAAAGGAATATAATGGGGAAACTGAGCCAGGAGGATCCCATTTTAGACTGAGGCTAAAATTGTCCTCTCAGCTTTTCCCGATGCTGACTTTCCCACCAGTATCACATTCTCCCAAGTAGCTTGTGGCATTTCTCTCAGATGGTGGATTATTGATTATCAGTGGATTATTATGATCCATTGGATAACTCAAATAAAATCCCATGAGCTTTTACCTCAAAAAGCAAGTTTCACTAATCACAAATTAGGAAAAACTTTTCCAGGATTAACATCTCAAATTTAACTTTGTGCTAGTGTAAAAATCCAATCTTTAAGAGATTATTTCTATATACTTGCAAATTCTCAGCACGACAAAACCCAGGTAAGCTTTTTGGCAAGTTTACACATTGAAACAATAACCAACAATAGCCAAATTATTTTAGCAGTAACCAAATTATGAAAAGTTGCTCGACATAACTGATAACAAAAAGTTCACCAGTTTGAAACTTGAAACAAACCCATTACCAATCAGGTGACTTCAATTTTGTTAAATGCATTTCCAGATTACTTTACACAGAGAATCAGCATCTCCTTAATAGTTAAAACTACAACTTTAAAAGAGTGTGCCTACCCAAGTTAGGAGGCTGGCTTCTTTACCTTGAGCAGGATGTGCTAAACCTGGGTGATGCTTCCAGGCAAAGGTCGCCCCAGGGCCCAAGGCCATTGCTGGTGGGGCCCATACTGTAGCTGCTGCCCCTTCCCCCTCCTTCCTTTCCCCAGGTGGGGGAGGGCAAAATGAAAGGTGAGGGGAAAGGGTGAAACTCTCTTCTCCTATGAGAGGGGTTAACAGACACCCTCTTGACTCAAGGGAAGGGAGTGAGAGAAGAGAGTGACCAGGGTTGTTTCAAAACTCCTTAATCTCAAAACTTCCAGAATCTGCCAAGATGTTTTTAGCTGTTCTAACTTTTTCCTGTAACCTCTGTGAAGGAGGATTCAGGGGTGTAGAGGGAAGGGAGTAAGTAAGCCTCAGGGAACCAAAAAGCAACTGCAGTTTTTCCAATTCTCTAGCACCGAGAGAATTGGCAGAATTGAGCATACATTTCCAGATAGGGTGCCTGTCCTTGTCCTCTATGCTGCAGAAGGTGTACCCAGGTCCATGGCCTCAAACTGAACCAGTGGACTGAAAGCCTGAGAGTCTCAGGCCGAGTGTGAGACAGCCTTGTAACTGTCTGCCTGAAAAGCACCTCCAAGCCTTGGTGGTTGGAGAGTGACCCCAACTGTAGAGCAAGAAAGGGGAGGGGAGGAGGCTTAGGGGAGGCTTACATACCTTCCAGTCTTGGCTGGAAAAGAACTTGAGGTTAGGCAGTTTCCCTATATGGGCCATCAAAATGTTGAGATTTAGTGGTTTAGGGGTGCTGGGACCCTAAAATCATGACATGTGGATCCTGCCCAAAAGAATCCAACTCAAGCCTTCTTTCAGCCAAAGACAAGTTAGAACATCTGCCATATTGGTCAGACTCTTAAGGAGTCCGAACATTAATGTGCTATTAGCTAGATTGTAAGAATCTGAGCAGTGGCTAGATTATAAGAATGAGCCGACATCTTTATTTTTAATATATTCTACTTCTTGTAACAAAGTTTAGGATAATGAAATGTACCCTTGTAATGCATCCACTTAGATATTATTGGGTCTAAGGAAACTTCTTGAGGGTTTGTCCCTATTCTTATGTCCCCTGCCTTTTAGGGGACCTCAGTTGATGCTTTACACTGGAAATATGTAGAGAACAATTGAAGTTTAGAGCTTCATCTCAGGTCCCAAGATAGTAATTCAATAATAATAATGACTTATATTTCTGTAGCACGTTAAAGTTTATAAAGCATTTTCGTAACAACTCTGTGGGAGAGGTAATACAAATAATATTATTCCCATTTTACAAATGAGAAAATTGAGGGTGAAGGAGGTTAAATAATGTGTATCTAAAATTACTGTTGAAATAGGGATTTCAACCTAGGTCTCCTGACATAAAAACTTGTCTTGTTTTAATATAACTAACCATCATACTTCAGCATCTAGAGGATATCTACTATCTTCCCTATTCTTAGTGCAGTAGTGAATGGAGCTATTAGGTATGTAAATAAACAAAGTCTTGTTATGATAAACATAATGAATAGTGTATTGTACATATTCTATCTACTAGGTTCTTTTATTTTCTCAGTGTCCCTAGAGGCTGGTACTGTAAGAACCAGCCCCATCTGCAGCTGGATGATGGTTTATTAGCATGTTTTGTTAGGATAGTACTATACCGTGTTGGGCTTAGTACAGGCAATGAATTTAAAAATTCAATTACAATACTGAGATTGTATGAATAATTGTAAGAATCCTCTTTACACAGGTATCTGCAGGAGGTTGGTTACACAGATACTATACTAGATGTAAAATCAAAGCGAGTACGAGCTTTGTTGGGCTTTGCAAGTGATGTCACTGAGAGGGAAAATGAGAAAAATCAGGAGTCAGTTATAAATGGAGCAGAAGCTGAAATTCATAAAGAAACAGTAATGATTGGGTAAGTGTTTTATCTGGAAAATGTTTAGTTTAGTTCCTATTAAAATAGTCACCTTTTAACTATATTTTTGTTTGACTTTAAGGATAATTTTTGGATCTAAAATATGTAATGAAAAGACTTCAATTAAAGTTATCTTTTGTTGAAGAACTGAATTTCAGTCTTTTCTGATTAAGTTTGAAGGAGATTGAAATTGATTATTTTTATCTGATCACTTTAAAAATGTTGTTGGTGTTTTGAAACTTGCTCAACTATGATGATTGTAGGTTTCCATTTAGATTTCTTTACGTTGCTTGAAATTTGAATATTAAATATAGGCTTCAATATCTTGACACAAACCTAGATGTTATTGAGACCTTAATAGAAAATTATATTTTAAATACTGAATACATTGAAATTCAGTCTAAATGATGGAAGTATTAAATTTCATTGTTTGCACCTCAGAAATTGTATAAAATAATTGAAATCATAAAATTAATTTCTAGATATGGAGGTTTTTTGATCCATTTTTGTTTCTAATAAAATCACATAAAAATCTTCCATGGTTAAAATGGCTATTTTACATTTACATAAAAGTACACTGGCTGTTTTGTCATGATTTTCCTTTTGGAGCACATACTTCAAATTTCTGTTTAATTGTATGTGAAGTTACTATAAGACATATATCAAGGTATTTCATTGTTCTTTATTGAAAAAACCAGTACTGTGATATAGAATTAAAATGAAAATGTACAAAATCAATGAAGTTTTATATATAATATATACACACATATTTTATTATAATGTCTATGCCTTCAGAAGACATGTAAGTTGACCTTTACATAGAAATTGCATTGAGTACTTAGTTGTATTTCATTACATAGAATGTAGAGGTAGGCATAAAAATAAGACTTTTAGAAGTAATGAAAACCCTCAACAATATTGTAGTCTATGTGTTTCCTAGGCCTTCACTTTTCGTCTTTCAGAAAGAGCAATTTTAAAGAATGTTGACTTGTTTTCAAGGAAAGGTACCAGACTTCTGGATATACGTTATCTGTGTATCCATAGACCCTTGAAGTCATTAATTCGGGTTTTATTTTTACTCATACTCATTCTTCATTTTATCTTTAACTTAGAAGAAAAGAATCAGAATCATTATGGAAACCTCCAAAGGAGGGCATCTGACTTGACATAGGCTTTTCATGCTTATCCTTTCTCTTCATACTGACCAGGATGAAAGTGACATTCTAGTTCTTTGCGAATCAGTACATATTTTGAATTCTGATAAAAATTTTAATTAACTCAGTTTTCTAATGAGATTCATTTGCTCTTTAAAATTTAGGCTACCAGTAGCTAACTACTTCAATAAGAAAGAAACCTTCTATTTTGCATCTAAAGTTTAAAATTTGCTCAATAATTTATATCTTTTACGTTTGGGGACCATTTAATAAATTCCTGAACAGAATCCAAGCCTAGTATCTTAAAAGAGCTCATTCATTTCCAAAAAGGTAATGATTTTCTTACTAGTAGATTCAAGCCTTGTAATAATAGATTTTTTGAGTATCATATCAATTCATTACCTCTAAATACATTTGTATTTATTACCTATTTAGAAGGAAAAGAACTCATAAGCTGGAATTGGATTTTGCTGCTTATCTGTTTGGTTCTCCCATTACCTCTTTTTTCCTCTCATGGAATACACAAACTTTTGTTCCTCCTTCTATACAGAAGGAGAAGATAGGAATTATTTTTAAAAAGTAAAGCATTAAGATGATATAAAGGTAGTAACAAATGAAAAAATTGCCCTCAATTCAGAAGAACTTCTTTATATGAGACTTTTCCCCCCTCAGTGTTGGGGCAAAGTAGTCCTACAGGAAAAAAAAAATATATTGAAACTGCTTCAGGATATACTTAATTCCATAATTAGGTGATCATATTTGAATCTCAGATGATGATCCATTGTTAGAGTACAAGTTTTGCTTTAACATATAATGGCAGTTGAGGCAATGTTATACATGGATATGCCTATGTTAGTAACATGAAAAAATGTGACCTCAAAATATTTTGAAAATATAGTAGCCTAGAATAGTTCTTCATTGTCTTTCCAAACCCACGACTCCTGGAAATCGTTGATTTGTATAGGAAACTCTAGTCTATAATTTGGGGTTGTGGAATCATGGCAAATAAGAATAAAATGAGCACTTGAAATGTCATGGATTAATGCTTTCATTGAAGTTTACTTTCTGTTAATTACCTAAGATGTGTATACTTTAAACTAGGAAACCAGAGTTAACTGATTCTGCCTCTGTACTGGATACTTTCAAATTCCTTGAAAATGCAGACTTCAGTGATGAAGATGATGAAGATGATATTGATGGGAGAGAGAAAACCATCATTGATACTTCAACGGTGGGTCATATAAGTCAGAAAATATAAAAGTATCCAGATAACCAAATAAACGAAAAGTAAAAATCATTAATCCGTGACACTTTTTGGCCCTTAAGTTTTTTTTTTTTGTAAACTATAAAAAATTCCTCTGAAATGATTTTAACTAGTATAGATCTTAAACTCAGTATAGTAACTGTGCTTAGAAAACCTCTGTCTATTTCACTGTTATCAATCATCAAGTATTCAATTCAACATCAGTTCAACAAATAATCATTCCTAGATGCTTAGTGTTAAGTATTACATTATAGCGATAGTATTGTCACTGGTTGTAACACAGTAGAAGCCATGATACTTGATGGAGATAAATGTCATCTGGTCAAGTGTAAAACCATATGTAATATTATATCTTTTCTAGGGAGCCTGCCTTCTCTTGAACCCTTTAAAGCAGTGGTTCTTAACATGAGATATAGAGACATTGATTTCAGAGGGTTTGTGAACTTGAATGGGGAATCTTTTTTTTTTTTAAATTTTCACTAAGCTTTAGCTGAAATTTAGCATTTTCTTCATTTGATTAAAAGCATTCTGAGAAGGAGTCAGTAGGCTTCACCAGACTACAAGGGAGTCCATGACACACAATGTCTTAAGAACCTCTATCAGAGGTTTCAGAATTGCTCAAAGACTTTCTCTGTAGTCTTTGTTGGTGTAGCCTTTGTCAGTTTCCTGATTTTAGCTCAGAGTTAAATGACGGTGATGTCAACAGAGAGAATGATCCTAATCCTAGCAATGGAGTATATATGAAGCTTGGCATTAATCAATGCTCTCACTAGGTGAAGGTTGATATTTAATGGGTTACTCTTAGTCTTATTGATTCTGGTATGTAGCAGTTCCCTCTTGTTTATTTCTTTTTTCTTTAGCTAAATTATAAATTCCTTGAAGGCAGAAAATAAGTTTTTTATACCTCTTTACCTCACTTTTTCGTACTCACAGTTGGGTTTCAGTACAAATATTATTACAGAATTTCATATAGAATCTCACAGAATTTTGTAATTGGAAGGGATCTTAGCAAATAGTGCATCCTTCCTAACTTGATAAATAATGCTAATTGCAACATTCTGGCAAGTGGTTTTCTAGGCTTTTCTTGAAGACCCTTAGTAAGCATGGGGAGCATACTACCCCCAAATTGAGCTGGTATAATCATTTACCCAAATAAAAATCCAAGAAGTTTTATTGTTTGAATAACAGGCACATTTAATTCAATTTAACAAACAATAAGCTCCTGAATCAATCAAAATATGTTTATTGAATGTCTACCATATTCCAGGCATTGTGTTAGCATGGATACAAGTACAGAAAATGAAGCATTGTCTTTATCTGAGTAAGTTACCTTTGAGGATAGGGACTGATTTGTTTTTGTTTTCCCAAGTGCATTATACATAGTAGGCACTTAAACGTTTGCTCAGTTGAAATGAATTCTAAGGCATTATGTTTAGCTTATATATACAAAGATAGATACTACACAGACCCTATTGTTTAGCAGCTTGAAATAATCAGTTTAATGGTAAAGAGAGGCAAGAGTTGAATACAAAGTAAACATGACATGGTGGAATATGATAAATACGAGATGTCCAGGGAATATGCTTTGAGAAATTTGAAGAGAGTCATCGCTTGTGATTGAGAGGCAGGGGTATAGAAGAACTTTATGGAGGAGTTGAGATTGAGTTGGACCCTGAAAGAAGGGAGAGTTCTTTTGTAAATGGAAAATCCAAAAGAAGAGAGTAAGAAAGGAATCTCTTTAGGTGTGGAGGATGATATAAGCAAAAGTACATAGACAGGAGAATACCACATGAGAAATGGGGAAGGAAAGAATCTTATCTGGTTAAAAATGTAGCCCATGTAAAAGAAAGTAGTATGTGATATGATGGAAGAGATGAATTAGAGACAAATTGAGGAAACCTTGAATGTCAGAATCAGGAGATTATACTGAAATGACTAACCATTTCAAGGAATATTGATTAATGAATCCTCATCATCTTGGAGGGAGGTCTGTAGTCACTCTACAGTGCTTTTAGTGCTGTCCCCTTTTTTCCCCACATAAAATTTTGATTTAGTGGGCTCAACCTTCTGTTAGAATTTTGGTCAAGTTGGTTCCATTAAAAATTACTGATTTTATTAACTAAATATTTAAAACTGCATGAAACATAGTGCACAAGATATTTTCTTCTTGAAGCTCTTAGGATACATTGTAATAATTAATTTGCTTTTTGCTTTTAAACTAAAATGGCTAATTGAGACAAATACTTATCAAGATCCTTCTTCCACCACTGATTGAGGCTGGGATGACAAGTGTACAGAATGTTCGTTTAGCCTTTGGAGACTTCTGGGCAGATTTTGTTTTGTTTTATTTTGGCTAGGCAGTGGGGGTAAGTGACTTGCCCAGGGTCACACATATAGTAACTATCAAATATCTGAGGCCACATTTGAACTCGGGTCCTCCTGACTCCAAGGCTGGTGCTCTATTCACTGCACCACATAGCTGCCCCTTCTGGGGAGATGTTATGACTGAGTGTTCCAAGTAGCCTTCTTGTTAACTGACTTTACAACTTCGGCAGTCTGTCATGTCATGAAGAGCAAAATGATCTAGTTCTGTCTCTATACCAAAGACTTGGTGAGGACATAGAAATATCCCTTTGATACAAAAGTATGAGGGATAAGTTATACATTTTATGGCAGAATCAGGCCTCATAAAGTTCTTGTTTGGTTAGTTTTGCCCATTGTTCTTACATTAGTCATATATTTAGAGCCTGAAGATAAACCATACAATTACAGGATAAGGAGACCTAGATTGATAAAAGTTCACATTAAAAAACAAAGCAAAACTTGGGAGTTTTAAATTGACCATTTACTCAAGATGAAACAATAGTGTGATGTGGGCTACTAAAAATGGTAATTAAGTCTTGGACATATAAAACAAGAAGTAAGATTAAATTGTTCTGTGATTCTCCAGGTACCAGAACCAGGATAATGGGTGAATTCACTGGGAAGTTAGATTTCTCTGTAGTAACTTTGTAATGGTTAACCTGACCAGAAAGGGAATGAGTTGCATTATAAAGAATTCTTCTTGTTACTGAAAACCTTCAAAGACTTTGTGACCATGTTAGGAATTAATTAGGAGTAAAATAAATTTCTCCTCCTATCATTTCAAAGTGTATGAGTCTTTGGGAGGTCAAGTTACAACTTTTTAAGGATGCTATGTTGAACATCTATACCCTCCCAGAAAATATCCCACTAATTGATCTAATATTGCATTTCCTATTATAATGTCACCTCATATTTGTGTAGTGCTTTTTACTTTTTCAACAGACTTGAGTATTTGTTTTATATTGTATTTTGAGCTGTTTAGCAGCCTGGTGATATAGTTTGAATACATTTTTGTTCTTACCTCTTTTATAGTTTGGAAATCTGAAGCCTAGAGAAATTGTGATGCTGTTAAATATATGTTGACCAGTGGTAGTCATTGATCCAATTTTTTTTTTAAGATTTCAAAATCAAACCATTAAGCTTAGTTTCAGTCTTTTAACTAAATTTGGAGCTCCACAAAAGATTTCAGTGGGGTCTAGCAATGAAATAATATAGATTTTATTAAACTTGTTGTCGTTCTATCCACATAGTAAAGCCTCTTCCTCAAAGTTGAAATGTTCAGAAAGCCAAATGAATAGAAAAGTTGGTTGTAGGATAGCTATATGTGAGTGGGAAGAGTCTGGAAAGAAATGTAAAATGAGAGAGGAGTAATAGATACAACTGAAAGCTTTTAAGTATGGAATTCCATAAGTCTACAGGGATGAATTCCTAAATGTACTTTCTATTGATTTGAAATCATAAGGAAATGATATAGGAGAAGTAAAACCTATCATATTAGCAGACCATGAAAGACAGGGGATTTTTTTATCAAGTTCTGACTGTGGATAAAACTAGCATTTTGCAAAATGGAAAACTGGTCAAGAAAGAAATGCAAGGCCCAATTATTCTAATATAGGGGTAGGTACTAGATCTGGATTTTGGTTGGCATTGGGGATTCACAGATGAGGAAACTCCTTCTATTTATGCATAGCACCTTCTATGTGACTTTATAGTCTTAGAGAGTTGCCTAGAACAGAGGTATCAAACTTGCTGGCCCAGCAAGACTCCTAGAGTGTCACAGGAACCAGATTAAAATATAATTGGGAAATGTTTAGCAGGATAAATAAAAATGCAGTACAACATAGATAATGCCAATTTGTGGGGGTTTTTTGTTTGTTTGTTTTTGTTCATCTGTGGTATGCAGGGATCAATTTCTATTTGAGTTTGATAGGCCTGTCCCAGAGCAATGAGAGGTTAAATGTGTTAACTAGGGTCACACACACTAAGTATATGTCAGTGACTGGACTTGAACTCTGGTCTTCTTGGTTTTGAGGCAAGCTCTTTATTCACTGCATTACAGTTCTAATATAGTGTAGCTAAAACATGTCTCACATTTCTATTAATCTGTTAAATTAGAAATGATTCATCTAGTGACTCCAGGTTTTCTGATGTGTCCGCAAAATCTAATGGGAAACAGGCTTAAATGACTACTTTAAAATATATAGTACTTAAATTTTTTTAAATAAAATATCTGTCTATTTGAGTTGACTACTATGTTCAGACTATAGTAAACAATTAGAATGCATATTTTTAAGGGGGGAAATTGAGTTTTCCCAATTAGTGATTTAAATCAGGATTTGATCTACTTGATTTTAAGCATGTACCCCTTATGTACTAGTATTTTAATTTAATATGTTTTTTTATTAGATTGTTAGGAAGAGGGTGTTATCTGATAGCAGTGAAGATCGAGATACAAAAGAAGCTCTAAAGGAGTTTGATTTCTTGGTTGCACCAGATGAAGGAGATGGAGAATCTAGAAGCGTAGGCGATGGAACAGAATGGGGTAAGGAAGCTTAATTGTTCCCAGTGGGGAACCTGAGAATCAGTCAAAAGAGTATTTTGCCTAGAATTCAGCCTCTCTCAGTGACTCTTATTGTATTGATAATTTATGAACTTTTTACTGTGAACTTTCTGTATCCAGATCTTTTAAAGAACCTTGCTTTAATCTTTATTTAAAATACAAGTGATAAATTTTGAAAAATTATTTAATGTGACCTACAAAATTTTAAAGATTTTATGTTTTCTATGGAATTTCTAATTCAAGATTTTGTGTCAATTGAGTATAAGAACATAGTAAAGGATTTTAGAGTTCTCTTTTGTTCTTGTTTACAGAAAGAAATGTAAGTCAGAAAGCTGTAGCTATTCATCTGCTCCATTCAGATCTATGACTTTAAACCAAGATATAGAACTGTTCTTGCACAAGTTTATCTTGACTAGTACAAATATTTTAAAAAGTCAAGTAACATAAAAACAATCACTTTTGTAGCGTTTTGAGATAAAAATAAATTACTTTTGTATGGTTTCTATGGCATAGATCCTTCTAGTAGTCTGGAAAATAAGTAACACTGATAGGTTAGCATAATTATAGACTTTACTTAGATGATTTATTCCATTCGTTATTGGTTTGGAGTAATTTCACTTTGAGGAATGTGAAAATTGAACAGATAATACTCCTGGAACTAATATTCTATTGGAAGAGATTATATCTGTTTATTTAAAAAGTATCTGTGTGTGTGTTATGTAATATGCTGATAAACACACACACACACACACACACACACACACACACACACACACACACACACTCATTTACAAAATAGCCTTGGATGAAAAGTACTTGGCAGAGGGGTTGAGAGAGAACCAGGAAGACTTTCTGGGAGAAAGTGTCATTCGAGCTATGTCTAGAGGAAGCCAGGGAGGTAGAGGTAAGGAGGAAGATCAATCTAATTGTGTGAATAGCCAGACCAAGTGCATGTAGACAAATGGAGCATCAAGTGTGAGGAATAGCAAGTAGACCAATGTTGATGTACCCTAAAGCAAAGGAGGAGTAATGTATAAGGACACTAGAGAGGTGTAGGTTAGGATTGGGTTATAAAGAGTCTTAGATGCCAAATAGGGTTTTATATTTGATCCTAGAGTCAATAGGGAACCACTAGGGTTCACCAACTAGTGATGGTGATATGGTCTGGTCTGAACTTTAGAAAATCACTTTAACTGTGTAGAGAATGGATTAGAGCAGATAGAGGACAATCTAGGCAAGAGGTAATAAGGTATTGAAATAAGGTGGTAGCTGTACTGAGTGATGAGAAGGACATGTATACAAGAGATGTTTGTTATACAAATAGAAATGACAAGATTTTGGCAGCTGGTTGGATATTTCAGGTGAGCAAAGGGAATTGAAGGTGACACCAAGGTTGTGAGCCTAGGTGTCTAGAAGAATGATGTTTGTTTTTGTTTTTTTCCCAACAAAAATAAGGAAGTTTGATAGAGGACTGAGATATGGAACGGCCAACTTGAAATATCTAATAGGCAGTTAGTGATGTGGAACTAGAGTTCAAGAGAAAGGGTAGAACTAGATAAACAGAACTGGGAGTCATCTGTTTAGTGGTGATTATTGACCCCAAGGGAGCTAATGAGGGAACCAAGGGAGAGAAAAAAGGAGGCCTGGAAAAGAACCTTGGGGTATCATTCACAATTAATGGGTGTTATTTGGTTGATGAAACAGGGAAGGAGACTGAGAAGATAGGGGAATTAGGGAGGAGAATCAAAATAGGGAAGGGTTGAGAAAACCCAGAGAAGGAATATTCAGGAAAAAAAGGGTAGTCAGCAGTGTCAGTTGCTACAGAGAGGTCAGAAAGGATGAGGAACTAGTAAAGGCCATAAAATTTGGCAGTTAGATGATGGGTGATTTTGGAGAGATCAGTTTCTGTGATGTAGTTGGAGACCAGATTGCTGATGTTTCTGAATAATCTCCAAATGGATGAGTGACCTAGATGTAAAATAGCACACCACAAATAAATTAGAGGAACAAGGAAGAAATTATCTTTCCTATGTGTGGCTGGGGAAAGAGTTCATGACCAAACAAGGGATAGAGAGGATTATAGAAGATAAAATGGAGAGTTTTGATTCCATGTATATGTTTACCCAAGGAAATTTAATATGGCTAAGATTAGAAGGGAGACAGGTAACCCTAAAAAATAATCTTTGCAGCAAGTCTCATTTCTAAGCTACATAAGGAACTTATTCAAATTAATAAGATAAGGGACATTACCTGGATATGGATATGAACAGGTAGCTCTCAAGGGAAGAAATTCAAGCTATTTATAGTCGTACGAAAGCATGCTCCAAATCACTAATAGTTAGAGAAATGCAAATTAAAGCAAATTAACTCTGAGATTCTACCTCACATCTATCAGTTGGCAAAGCTGACAAAAAAAAAAAATAAAAGGACATATGTTGAATGGGCTGTGGGAAAACAGACACATTGATGAAACTCTGAATTAGCCCAGCTATTCTTGAAAGCAGCTTGAATTATGCCAAAAATGACTGCATTGTGCATATTCACTGACACATAAAAACACTTCTAGACCTATACCTCAAAAACATTGAAGAGGAAAAGGTTCCAAAAATATTTACAGTAGCCTTTTTGTGGTGTCAGGTAATTGGAAATTGAGGGGATGCCCATCAATTGAGGAATGGCTGAACAAGTTATGGTATATGAATGTAATGGAATACTATTGTGTTGTAAGAAATGGAGAGAGAGTTTCAAAGAGACCTGAGAAGACTTTAGTTTGTCAGTAAAAATTTATTAAGTGCCTGTTATATGCCAGGCATTGTACTAAGTGCTAGGGATATAAAAAGAGGCAAAAGACAGTCCCTGCCTTCAAGGAGCTCATGGTCTAATGGTTGAAACAAGAAACAAATAAATACATTGAATTACATATGCACAGGATAAATAGGAAATAATTAAAAGAGGGAAAGCACTAGAATTAAGAGGGATTGGGAAAGGCTTCCTAAGAAGCCAAGAAGATGAGATTTTAGTCGGAACTTAAAAGAATCCAGGGGAGCCAATGAGCAGAGATGAGGAGAGAGAGAGAGAGAGAATTTCTGGCATGGGGGTCAATAAGAGGAAATGGCCAGAGCTGAGAGAAATTATCTTTTTCATAGAAGAGCAAGGAGGCTAGTGTCACTGGATCAAAGATTGTGTGAGAGAGTAAGGTGAAAGAAGTCTGGAAAGGTAGGTAGGAACTAAGTTGGAAGGGTTTTGAATGCCAAATAGAGAACTGAGAATTTTGTATTTGATCCCAGAGGTGATAGGGAGCCATTGCTATTTATTGAGTAGGGGAGTGGCATGATTGAGTAATTTAAGAAAATTACTTTAGTGGCTGAGTGGAGGATGGATTGGAATATAGAGAAACACGAGGTAGCAGACCCACCAGCAGACTATTGCAATAATTCAGTTGTGAGGTTATGAAGGCCTGCACTAGGGTGGTGGTAGTGTCAGAGGAGAGAATCCTCTGTCGAGGATGAAGCAAAGGTGAAATTGACAGGCCCTGGCAACAGATTGACTGGGTGGAAGGATGAGAGTGAGTAAGGAGTTGAGGATGACACCCAGGTTGAGCCTGAGGGACTGGGAGGATGATGTTGTCCTTAGTAATAGAGTATTTCAGAGTAGGGAGAAGGGAAAGATAATGAATTCTATTTTTAATTTTTGTTGAGTTGAATATTTGTTGAGTTTAAGATGTCTTTTTGACATCTAATTTGAGATGTTTGAAAAGCAGTTGGAAATGTGAGATTGGAGGTCAGCAAAGAGGATGAGGCAAGATAGGTGGATTTGAGAATTGTTGGTATGGAGATGGTTATTAAATCCATGGGAGTTGATGAAATCAGTAAATGAAGTAGTATAGACAGAAGAGAAGAGAAGAGGACCTAGGAAAGAATTCTGTGGGACACCAGTAGTTAGAGGGCATGATCTAAATGAGGACCGAGCAAAGGAGACTGAGGAGTAGTGAGCTGATATGATAGATAAGAGAACAAGAGGGAATGGTATCCAGAAAACCTAGAGGGAACTTAGAGTATCAAGGAGACGGGGATGATCAACAATGTCAAAGGCTGTGTAGAGGTTGAGAAGAAAGTATTGAGAAAAGGTCATTGGCTTTGGCAATTAAGAGGTCATTAGAGACTTCCAGAGGGAGAGCCAATATGGTGGAGTAAAGAAAGTGCTCAGCTGAGCTCTCCCAACAGACTACTTTTAAAAAAACCCTTCAAATAAAATTATGGAGTGGCAGAGCCAACAAAAGGTCAGAGTGAAACACTCTTCTAGCCCAAGACAATTTAGGATGTCAGAAAGAGAGATTTGTGCATGGAGGGAGGAAACTGTCCTGGAATCCACAAGGATGAAACACCCGTGGAGTGACCAGGTAGTGGTGGCAGAAGTAGCAGCAGCTTCAGGAGTTCTTAAGCTGGAGAGGATAAAGAAACTGTGAACTGTTAGAAAGAAATCCTGTGCTAGCATTGGACACAGGATCAGATGGTGTTTGTCAATTCCATTGCCTATACTTGCTTCTGGGTCCTAGTTCAAGAGAAAAACATTTTCTGTCTAGAGGCAGTGAGAGCCCTGAGGGGCAGCTGTTTGGCAATTCATATATATATAGTCACTTCTCACTTATAGCTCAAGGGCATGGAGGAGCTCTTTTGGTTAAGAGGGAGTGTAATCCCTGCAGGGGCCCTGAGAAACAGCCACATTACTGGTCCCAAGGCAACAAGAACCCTAAGAAACAGTATAAATTGCAATCCCAAAGGATCAGGGGTTCTTCCTGGGTAAAGATCAAAGTACAGACCAGGTGAGCAGCAACCACACCCCTCCCCAGATCATACTGCCTTAGAAGCACTGAAAACTTCAAAACCCCAGAACTAGTTCTGATAACAACTATACAGAAAAAGCTTGAAGCTTGAGGTGGCACCCTGAACGTGCCACCTCCTCTTCCCAGCGCACCATCAGTA